TTTTTTGATGGGCCAGTTTGGACAAATTTTTATGGGGGGGAACCTAAGGGGGGCCCCCCCCCCCCCCGCCAAATTTCAAGTTGCAAAATAGGGAGATTGAAGAATGTGTCTCCTCAGGAATCTGCTATGTGGGCAACATGTAATTTTTGTTCTCTAATTGTGTTTTTTTTAGTAGCTGAACTGTTTGACCATCCTCCCCTTCCCTCTGCTCCCTCCCCCCAGTAAAAAAGGGTGTGGGAGCATCTCTTGGCATGGTGATTTCAGCCTGTTTTTAAAGTTTGGCCCAGTTTTACAAGCAGCTGGAATCTGAGTCTTAAAATGGAAGGTGTTGGGTAACCTTTATTCCAGGTGGCACTACTAGCGACTCCTAGTGCAGGCGTCTAGGAAGAGTGTAGTATATTTTGTTTTAAGTGTTTGAACAAATTCAAGAAAGCAGACTCACCCTCGGTATGATGGGACGTAGGACTTACCATCACAGCACATCCAGTTATAAGCCCCTGTTTGCCTTGCTGGTTTCTTTACTCAACTTTAACTGTGGTTTGATGTGAAACTTTGCATACAAGTTGTCTACATCAAGCTGAAGATTTACAGCTGATTTCAGCCCCTAGAATTCAGCTGTTTCAGAGCAATGCTAGAAAAATGTACCATATTATAATCCTCTGCTAACCTTTTCTTTGAAAACCCCTCCCTAGCACTCGCATCCTTTGGAGCAGAGACTCAGCTTGGCATAGATGCCCTGTGAGTCAAGGATGTGTTTTTCCTGTTCAAGTGAACATCTGTCTAAATTTGGCTAAGTCTTAAACCTCTGCAGTTAGCTTAGGATTAGTAGAAACTTCTTGGATTTTTAATAGCTGAATTCCTTAAAGAGTCTAACCACTGGGGGTTTTTCAGTCGGCAACCGAACAGAAAGTGCTCTGTAATGGCAGCTCTGGGTTGCAGCGAGCCCTGCTGGGTCTGTGTCAGGGCACTTGAACTGAGAACAAGGAGACTATGAAAGCAACAAATAGCCAGCCATTAAGCAAGCACCATCCTTTCTAGGCACTGAATGCAGAATGGGCTCAGTGTTAAAAATAGTATGTATGACTGAAGGCCGTCACAATGCATGTGCACAGGGAGGCTGAATTAAGGTTGCACAGCATCATTCATTCTGGCATGCGTGGAACTTCTGAATGTTGGACTTAGCAACTTTAATGTTTTCATGCATTTTGGGGAGGGGTATATTGTTCATATTTGCATAACATTTCGGTAAGCTTTCTGGCAGAGGAAAGGAAAATGATTCTGCAGATTGATCCGCTGGTAGGTGAGATGAGTAATAAACTGGAGGAAACCTGGGAAATCTTAAATTTTGCTTTCGGTACGGAAGCATGGCTTTGACAGATGTGTGGTCATATTGGTGCAGAATTCCTCAGGCAAAGTAGAACTAATCTTTCATCTCTTAATACTAGTAAAGCAACACTAATAGAGGAAGACACAGATTTATTGTCTTTTACAACTTGGCTTTAAAATGGCTGAGAGAAACCGTTTCAGCTGGCCTGAAACTGAATTGGACTAGCGGGTGTTGGAAAGTTTCCGGCACAGTTGCTTTGGTTCAGGGTGGTTTTGGTAACTGTGCCAGTACAACAGAGAGAAGAAACATGATGGCTCTGAGGGGGATAAGTGAATAAGCATTTTTCACGGACGTGAAGGAACAGGCGAGTTTTGTTTTATGTCTCCTCTTGTGGATGGATAGCAGCCAGATCGAGTAAACACAATGTCCAGGTATTCTCTGGGGGACCTTTCAGCCAGCTGGGATTGTGAGTTAGCTTTTGTTGATGGGAGGAGATATGGGAGGGGGGTGGAAAAAACAAAGCCATTCACTGTACCTCCCAGGAGTATGCTGCAGTACAAGGAGTTCAAAAATCCATCCAGAAAATGCATTTAGGAAAAATAAAATTTCTGCTACTAAGATGCTTGAACTCTTTGATTTGCAAAGCTTCTGTGTTCCTTTGCAAACTTATGTTGCAATGGGAGCATTTGTATTTATCTTCACTGTCTCTAGGTTAGGGTAATTCAGGCGTCTTTTCAAGGTGCTGTTTTTCTTGCATCCAGTTAAAGTGCCTCATTTTACCTTGCCCAAGAGCCAAGGAACAGGAAAATTTGAGTGTTGGTTGCAGGACTGCTTTCAAAGGTGCCTGACACACATGATAACAGAGAACGTGAGAAGCAAAGGGATAGGATTAGCCAGGATCCTTTTCAGTCAGTCCCAAAGGATGAAAGAAAGAATGGTAGATTAGAAACAGCTCTCTCCTTTTAGCAAGCAGAGGGGATGAAACAAGAGAGGCGATACAGAGACTAATGTGGATATTCTGCCGCTGTTTAAAATGCATTTCTGAGATCTTCAAAAGCATAAAAGGAAGCTGTCACCGAACTTGAAACTGTTTCTCTCAAACTCTCATACTTGCCCATTTCACTGGGCAGATACATGACTTGTGTGCTGTCTTACAGTAACAGTACAAACAGAGCGGACACAAAAATGCCCAGCCATGCTGCTTAAAAGATACAATTGAGACAGTTCTGTGTCACGGAGTTACGAACAGGGGGAGAATGTGGTAGTCTACTGACTTTGCTGCATTGCGATGCACCCTGACTGGTCAGCAATATGTGATGACATTGAGTTGCAACGATGCAGCTTCACCATGCAGATGTTATGATGCCATGACAAATTGCTGACCATCACTTTGTATTGCTTTGGCTTAATTTATTCTGTCTTTTCCCAACCAGTACTCCCGATCCAGAGTAGTAGTGTTTTGAAGTATTAAGAGTGGCTAGAATACCTTATGGAATGGAGTGTATGCAGCTATCTAAATAGGAAAAAAAATTTGAGTCTCAGAAGGAAGAGGCAGAACTTTTTTTTTAGGAGGCCTAGTTGTGCTGGTTTCATTCACCTCACGTGTCTCATTTTGAAGCCAAGTGCCACAAAGGATGCCAGTGCATGTGCATGTATCAATTACACACCCATTTCAAAGCAAAACTAAGCCTTTTTTGTTTGCAGGTGCTGTTGGTGAGCAGTAGTCGACATCCAGATAGATGGATTGTCCCAGGGGGTGGCATGGAGCCAGAAGAGGAGCCCAACATGGCTGCTGTGCGGGAAGTCTGTGAAGAGGTATGTATCCACGAGGAACAGAACTGCCTGGAATCATGTCGTTGGGCGATACCTCTGCTTGCTTGCTTCGGCAACACACGTGCTAAAATTGGAATGATACAGAGAAGATTAGCAAGGCGTCTTTATATACTGCCTTCCTTTACTTGCATATCACCAACCTGCTTGTTTTTCAGTATTCCCACACTGTTACAAGGTACTATAATTAACAATTTCAATGTCCCTGTCAGTTCCTGTTTTTAGTGCGTCTTCATCTTTATATCCTTAAAGGTAATAATACTTTCAAGTGTAAAGTTCACATACATTAAAGGATTATCAACAGTTCTTGAAACATATCATCTATAAATTGAAGGCCATAGAGTGTTTTTGGAGGCAAGTCTCTTATCCTCATATAAGTGAAATGCAGGTTGAGTAAGTGTCTTGGCATCTTTTTAACAAATTTTCAGAGTATATTTGAGAGTGACATTTCCTGCATCCTCCCCCCCTCTTTTCTTTTCTTTTTTTTTTTTTAACAGTGCAAGTATAAAAGCTGTCTGTAATAATATGCAAGAAGCAAGGTTTTTTGAGACATCTTTTACTGGACTAGCTGTGTAACTGGGACAGATGTTAGACAAGCCTTTGGGCTCCAAATGAGTTTTGAAGAGAGACACTTTGGCCATGTCCAGATAAGTGTGGCTGTGTGGTATGTGGCACCGCAGACACGTCTGCAGTGCCACTTACTGCATGTTCAAGTGTTCTCCACGCAGCCAGGGAGCAGTGCAGGGTTTGTTCTTGTTTTTTTGACCCCTGGATATCCAGGGGTCAATAAAACCCGCACAAAAAAATGAGTGGTGCATGCAAGGGCAGCATGTGCTGCTTAAAACTGGGGCCTGTCTGGCCGGAGCTGTGCGACTACCACCCAGTCTCTGAGCAGCAGGATCACTGCTGCCGCAGCTCCAGGAGGCCCCCAGGATCCCAGGTAAGGCTGCTGGGGCCAGCCCAGAGCTGGCCCTAGCCTCTCCTGTCCCACCCGGGGTAACCTGCTGCGTGTCAGAGCACGTGTAGCACGGGCATTCCCTGTGGACATGTAGCAACAATACAAGGTGTCCTGCTGCTAGTTGTCATGGCGTTTGGGCCCAAAAGCTTGTTTATCATCTCTCCCAACTACACAGTTGATCCAATAAAAGATATCACCAAAAACCCTTGTTTCTTGCACATTTTATGGACCCAAGTCCAAAAAGAGCTATAAAATTTAAGGTTGCATTCTGTTTGTTTATTGTGAAGAGACTTACAAGTTTTATTTTAAGTTGTCTTTTGTGTCTGATGCTTTCTTTTATCCAGTAAAATATTATAATAATAAACTTCCTGGCTGTTAAACTTTTCAAGAAATGTTATTTCTGATGTTTGATGTTTCCCCAGGCATTTGGTTTCTGAAGAAAGAATAAGTTTTGGTTAGTGCTAATAACACTAAAAGCTTGACACACATGTAACATGCTCATTGAGCAGATAAAATCCACATAAACATTACACATATATTTGAATGTGACAGATGTGCGAAGAGAATCCAAGGTTATAGATGATGTCAAAGGTATAGGCCAGTGATTCTCAACCAGGATGTCATGATACCTTGGGGTACCTTGAGATCCTTTCAAGGGTGCTGGATGATATTAGCACTGGTAGGTGTGCAAACATGAATCGCAAGGTAAATTCAGAGGTTTCAAATACAAATATTCAGTGTTCAAGACATTCTGATCTGCTGTGGTCTTTCTTTGCAACAGAAAAAATACTCTCATTTTTTCTGTAGTTAAAAACCAAGTGAATAGTAAGAGCTGTCATTTTTTGAGGTGGGGAGCCTTCATTCTAAAAAGGTTGAGAATCACTGCTATAGGCAGTGGAGGGAAATGGGAAATAGGAGTTGAGAACAATGGAAATGAAGTTGATTTAGAGAGCTGCTCTTGCATGAGAACTGCTGCTTTCTGTCTGAGACGTTTAGATGAAGGAAGGTGGAATGAAACTATGGTCATTTTTAAAATGTGTTACTATTTTAGATTTAATTTGTCTGTACTCCTGTAAAATTCAATTTTCTTATGAAGTGAGCTCCAAAAAAGGACCTGTCCATAACATTGTCCAATAATAGGTATGGAGGATTGTAATGATGGCTTATGAAGAATTTAGGTTGCTGTACGGGGGACATCTTAAAATAGTGTTTTGGTCCATTAGATGGAGAATATGCATGATTGAACATCCAGGGCGAGAATCCATGAGATTGTAGCAATGGGAAGGCTTTGCTCTTTACTTGGGAATATTTTAGAGGGAATGTAGGAGAATTAGTACACAGAATTAGTAATGGTAACAAAAATAAATTGAGCTCTTACATAAAAGAACAAGGTACAGCCAATTTAAAAGAACAAGTAACACACTGAATATTGATCATTTGTAAATTAACTATGTAGCATATGGCTGATTTGTAGAATTTACTGTTGGATATCATAGAGGCTAGGGGGTGTTTAGAATTTAAAAAAAAAAAAAAAAAGGTGTTCGAATGGATAACAAGCAAGCTCACAGTTAAGATAGGATTGAAAATGTCTCTATAAGGGTTATAAACCTTGCTACAGAGGGCAAAAGTCAACAGGTGAGCTTTGGGAAGAAACTTCCTCCCTAGGCAAAGCCTTCCATAATTGTCATCAATGGAATTTCTTATATTTTCCTCTTAAGGACTCTAAAAAAATCTTTCATTTAAGATAAGAATGCTAGACTACATACCCCCTGAACTAATATGCCAAATCCCTATAATCTGTGTGCCTAGACAGAACTCTTTTAAAATTGCTTTCCTAACTAACTCTTTAATAAAGCCTATGTTAGATTTTTTTTGGTCAATTTTTATAACAAACACTGACCTACTCTTGTCTGTAATACCGCACTTGGTGCCTTACTGTATCCCTGTAAGGGGAGGATCAGGTACCTCTCAAGTATTTTAAAGCCGTTTTATCTTCAAAAGTTTCTGCTCTTGCTTCTCCTTATGCGGTTTATTTCAAAGTCATATGAGGGTAGGGTTATGATTGTCCTCTGCCCGCCACCCCTGTTGGTTATTCTGGTGGATTGGGGGCCGGGCAATTGAACTTCATACTTTGATTGCCTCCACTGCATAATGAAGCCAAGGAATTCTTTTAAATTGCAGGTGGGGTTAATTTAATTGCACTTATGAATATCTTTGGTTGTGCTTACCTGTCTTGTCTCACACAGCAATTCATTTACATCAGTATAATGTAATGGATGCAGGTGTTGCTGTGGATGTAGTCTTTCTGGACTTCAGCAAGGCCTTTTGACACCGTCTCCCACCCCATCCTCGTTAAAAAATTGGGCGACTGTGGCATCGATGCCCACACAGTCAGACGGATTGCAGGTTGGCTGAAGGGTCGCACTCAGGGGGTGGTGGTGGATGGGTCATATTCGACCTGGGGAGAAGTGGGCAGCGGAGTCCCCCAGGGCTTGATCCTTGGGCCCATGCTGTTCAATTTCTTTATCAGCGATTTGGACAACGGGGTGAAAAGCAACCTGCTTAAATTCGCTGATGATACCAAAACGTGGGGTGAGGTGAGCACGCTAGTAGGGAGGGAAAGACCTGGATAGGTTACAGGGGTGGGCTAATAAAAACAGGATGTGCTTCAATACTGACAAGTACAGGGTGCTGCA